AAAGTTTATAAAAATTATTTAAAAAAAATTTTATTAAATTTGGTTATGTTTTTGTTAAATTATTCTTGCTTAAAGTTGTAAAAAATTTTTATTATAAAAAATTTGCTTGATTTCTATTGACTCACCCCCATATGATACGAAAATGATGTGATAAATTTATATAAAAGACAAAAATAATAAAGTAAGTCTCTTGTTTTAAAAAGAAAAAGATAATGATATACATACATAAAACGTGGTTATAGAGAGATCCATACAAGTAGTTAGTTGTTAAATCACGATGTTAAAAAAAATACTATACCACAGCAAACGCTTCCAAGTTAGTTAGAGATGGCTATTATTTGACTTCATGAAATAATATATAGAAAAATCGATCAAAATTATATTAATTTTTTACACAAATGACTTCACCTTCTTTTCATATTGGTGATATTCTATTACCATTTGGACGATCTGTTGATTATTTATATTCTCTTCCTATATAACACAACATCCATTATAAGGTTCAAAGTTATAAATGATATGATATATTTAAAATTTATATATTTTATGTTATCACGGTACCGATAGTAATGTAATTAATAAATAAATAAATACTAAAGATATATAAGACAATTCTGACAAACATTTTTTTTGCAATGATCGTGTAACATTATGTGGGTCAAAAACGATAAATTTTTTTTTGTTTTGGGCGGGTCAATAAAAATGGGTCAAATGGTCAAAAACAATGTTTTTACGACAGAGAGCGGGTGAAAAAAAAATCCAGACTGATTACAATGCTAACCAAAACTAGACAAGTACTATGTACACAAATACGTGCAAGAAAATTTAATTCATGATTCAAAACTCATAATGTGACCTCGTCTGACAGGCCATAATTTATCTGAAAGTGAACAAACAATACTGTTATCCCGACAGGTCATCAAATCATAGTTTCTATATAGACTACCGGATCATTTGCCAGGATTGGGTAAGACGGAAAAACCAAACAAAGCCGAGATGGAAGATTAGTAATAATAATATCCTGATCCGTTGGGTATTAGCGGGGCTGAAAGTCCCGCTAATTCACATACGGTCAGGGTATTATTAATTAATACTCCCGTGATCTTGAATAGTGATCGGGGTATTAGAACAGAAATTACCGTTACCTTATCTGGGAAACCTTAAATCCTACAGTACTAATGATTACTAATCAAAATACTACTCCATTACGTCACTAAAATCACATACCGATACGAAATCATACGATAAATCACACCAAACGAAATCACACGATAATTCACGACAAAGCATATAGATTGATCAGTTAAAATAAATCTGGGATCGATTCGATTCAAAATAAAATGCTGCTCTTCATATCAGACAGTTAATTTCACCACCTTTTTAAGTTTTTCTTGACAAAATTCGAAGCTTTATTTGTTTTCACAGTGTAAAACCTGCCTAGAAATTACAGATCATGACATTGTTGACGTTGGTCAATCAATCAGTGCTCATAAACCAAGCATAGCAAAAAATTGGTCATATTTTAAACTCATTTATAATTTCAACGGTTCGTTTTTGTGTGGCAATCTAATTTTAAAATATCTTTTAATAACCATCGCCTTTACTTGAGCAATATACTGTAAAATTTCCGAACACTATGGATTTTTTGTGTCGTAAATAGAAAATTATTAGACTTTTCGATTTGAATATGCAGAGAATAATTAACCATCTGAAAAATGATTTTATTTCGAAGAAAGCGACATTCTGTTTGGAACAGGATCTGCACGAACAATGTCCTACCAAAATCAGAAACTAAATTAAATTTGGATAAGCACAATTCAAATACTAATGTTTAAAGGCGCCACAAATACTAAGATAGCCAAATTAAAGATAATACAACCGACCTCCTTAAGTACACGCTATCAGGATGTGCGCTTTCTTGTAGGATGTGCAACCTACTGAGAAGTAAACTAACGCTCTTGTATAAACTATTGCGAATTTTATCATATTAAAAAAAGAAAAACATGAATGATACTGTTTTACTTTAGAAAGAGTTCAATAAATTTTCGAAAAAATAAAAATTAAACTCAGCATATTTTTTGCAAACTGCACCATATAAAATTACTCAAAGTTTTTCTATAAATCTTATCATGCAAATATCGATCTATTAGCGTTGATTTTAGATTTCTTTAAATTAGTTACGTGCGTGCATAACTGATTTTTTTGGACAATGTTGAAATGAGATTTAGAGGACTAACGCTAATGTACAACCATATTACAGTGTACCTTTTTAAATAAACGAAATTCTATGCAACTTACAAATAATAAAAAACTTCAGTTTTTTATTCACTTGAATAGTAACAATTTTGCAAGTAATTAAATATTTATAAAACATATATTGATTAAACAAACATCATATCAATATTATGGATTAATTTTTCTAATTCTTTTTCGGTAGCAATTTTATAATATTCCAATGCCTTTTCTTCATCAATATTAGTTCCTATTCCAAATTGATAACAATCACCAGTTTCTATGTAGGCATTAATATAACCATTATCGGCAGATTTTTTATATATTTCAAGAGCTTTTTTCTGATTTTTTTCAGTTCCTATTCCTTCACGATAACAACGTGCAAGTTGATATTGTCCTTTAGGAAATTCTTTTTCAGCTGATTTTTGATAACATTCGAATGCTTTTAATCGATCAATTTTAGTTGTTGCACCAATTTCATAAAGATATCCAAGAGCATCATGTGCTTTAGCATATCCACCATCAGCTGCTGATTGAAATAATTCAAATGCTTTTTTTTCATCCTTTTCAATTCCTTCTCCAAGTAAATATGAATATCCAAAATGATATTTTCCTATAGGCAATCCACCTTCTGCGGCTTTCCGAAAACATTCTATTGCTTTTTTATAATTTATTTCGGTTGCTGCACCAAATGTAAAACAAATACCAAGTGAATTATATGATAATATATATCCACCTTTAATTGATTTTTCAAAATATTCAAAAGCCTTCTTAAAATCTCTTTTAACCCATACTCCATACAAAAAACATTCTGCAAGAACATGTTGAACTTTAGGGTAATTATGAGAATTATTTAAACACCATTCAATTACATCCTTTGGTTTTTGTTGTTTCGTTGTAATAATTTTATCCATCATATTATAAATTGTTTTAGTACGAGTTCCTTTCATAACTTCTTCATCTAATAATTTACATAATTCTTCAACTATATTTTGGAAAATTATCTGTGACATTTTAAGTAAAGTTTATTGTAGAGAAAAAAAAAAGAAAAAATTTAAGAATCGATAGAGAAGAAAAAAAAAAATTTACAATTTTAAATATTATAAATATTAACGTTAAGGAAGTTAATTTAATAAGAGTGATACGTAAAATATCGAATTCTTTTTAGATGTTAATTTTATTTGTAATACAGTAACAGGATTACCGTCGAGATATATGTAAACAAAATTTCGCCATTATTGTACTGTGCTTCGTCATGAGGCTTTGTTATATAAATATGTCTATTTAAAGTATCATTATTCTATTTCTATTTCGTATCAATAATTATTATGTCAGAACTTTTTTGGTCCCAAGTTGTTGTCGTCATTGATATATTCAAAATGAGGTCCTACAATAGCCACCCATTTTCCCGAAAGTCATTTCCCTTACAGGCCATTTACTCGTCATCACATAGGGTTAGAGTTGGTATTTGATTAATTGAAGGTATTTATAGTTTAGTAAATTGTCACATGTTTGACTTCGGATAAATTGCCTGTAGAGGAAATGTCCGTCGGGGAAATGAGGTAACCATTTAAGGATATGATAATCAGGCTGCCATTATGATTTTTGTGTGCTTACAACAATATGGATAGCAAAGTAATGTAATTGTGTAAGAATTACTTAATGACGTATCATTTTACTTAATATTAATTTTATTACTTACTATTTACTCTACATGTTTAATCACATGGTAACGGCAAGGACTGAGATTTTGAGCAAAATGAAGTAAATATTTGTTGCCAAAAATAGAATTGTCGTAATAATTACTTATTGCAAAAAAAAAAAAAAAAAAAATTATAAATTAATATTAATAACTTTGCCCATCGTAACAATTCTTCAAACTTCTAGAAAGATACTGGAACGTATGCAAAGAGATTCTATTCTATAAAGCAGATTTTGATCAAATCGCTATGTGATGTAAGATGGTGCCAATATAATTCACAAAGCTTTCGGTTATCCACACTTGTGTTACTGTTACGAAAAGAAAAATTATCCAAATAATTATTGATTCAAACAGATAACCACGATTAGACATCCATTTATGTGAAGTATGGAAAAAGCTTGTAATGATGACTCTAAACAACATTGTAGACCTGGATCAAAATGACGGTTGAAAAATAAAACTATGAAACGAAAAAAAAACCCCGATGAACTTCCTAAGACGTTAATGAAAGCTTTCTTATTCGGTAAGAACCTTATATGATATTCATGATGATTTTTTTGCTGCTCGTCAAATTTTCATCGACCAGTCAATGTATGAATTAATCACTTCATCGGAAATATCGACTCTACAAATTTAATTTTTGATAATTGCAATAATGATCCAGATTTTCCAAGTTCCGGTAATTCCAGTGAAAAGTTCTACTAGAACGATTTTCACTAGAACGTATATATTATTAACCAATGAAAATATATGAATACATTTTTCAAATAAATTGCATCGCTGTTTCGATCTTGTTCCAAAGCATACAATTAGTTAAAAAAAAAAATAAAATTAATCAAATTTAGAATGTTTTCTATTTAATTTTATTCTAGATTTGAGTATACAGGAATTAATGTCAAAGAGTTAAGCAATCACCATAGTGACTGCTATCTAGCCCAGTTGACTTTAACTTTATTTCGGGTCTCGCTTGGCACTAGAGACACACACCTTCACAACACACACCGCACTTCAGATTGTGTAAGTGTTTACTTTAGAAAACGCTCTTCTTTTCTTACCGGTCAAAGAGACTGACTGATTCTCTTTGTTTACATTCGCTTTTATCTGAAACATTTATTACATACTTTGCGCAACACTTAAACTATTTCATTCTTTGTTGCATTTTAATAAAATAAACTTTTCCCCAATATATCGTCATTATCATGCATCCGACGATCATGGTACCTATCGTACCCGATCTCAATCATGCCCCGACACTATGATTTCCACCACGACCCCGATCGATCACATTATCACCCGAGTCGTTCGATCGATACTTCTGTTTTACCTTGACATATTCGGTTTCATTTATCTATTTGCATACCTTTTACTAGGTATACGGGGTCTTCGAAAACTATGCGACAATTAACTAAAATATATAATCTATTAAAATTTTATTTTATTCGCAATAATTACAATAATATACAAGTATAAAGCACTATTAATCTAAATATTTAAAATAAGCTTTTTAATACATAAGCATAAAAAACTTATTAAGTATTCTAAATAAGATATTCAAGTCCATGAACGTATGCTATTTAAATTTATTTGTTCACATTAATTTATGAAAGCAATTTATTAAGCTAAGTATTTAGAATAAGCTATCTGACTTCATTGATGTCAAAGAACATACAGAAAAAAAGATTGTTTTAACGTTTCGTAGTATCTGGGTCAAAAAGAATTATGTAAAAGAATTGTTCAGAATGGCCTCCGCAAAATTCTTTTATACAAGCAAATGTAATATGAAATTACAATCGACAAGTTATCAACTGGCCGATTTGTAAAAGATGTACGTACTGCATACTGTACATAAAATATGGATAATTTTTTTTTCTCGCCACTGGACATCACTTGATCTACCATGATATATCTTCAATTCGGTCTTGTTAGTTCCAGTGATTCCAACAAGCTAGCAGCAACAACAACACTGCTCTACAACACGTACGAATTTTATCCATGCTTTCTGTAAAAGATCCAATTTGCAGGAAATTTGAGTTAACCTATACAATTTCTAAGAACAAAATCGTTATTAATAAATTAAATCACAGGTAGTTAATTCTCTGATCAAGTCGGATTTGATACATATCCTTTGTATATATTTATAAACTACTAATAGACCGACAGAACAATTGAAATAAAAAATGTGACCGTTATAATTTATTATTCAGTAGCTACTATTGATCATGTTACCCATATTAATACTTTATCACGGTATATCAATATTTAATGCCCAGCCCAGGTATTGAGTTCGGGGTGATCCGGAATTTTTTTTTTTTTTTGATTATCCTTTTTTTGAGGTTGCTTTTGCATCTTAAAGACTTTTATATTATTCGTTTGAGTTGCCAGAAAGTCGCTGGCCATAAAAAAAATAAATAAATAAATAATAAAAAACATGCCTTGCGGTTAATAAACTAATGAAACACATTTTTTTAAATAAAATATATATATATATGAACCGTGGAATAAACGATTTAGCGAATTTAGAGTTATGGATTAATATGAGTAACATGATCAATGGACACTTCCTGATAATATCGTTATCAGATAGAATGTAGATAACTATTAATTATATGAACTTTTTAGAGTGAAATCTGGATGTAAAAAGTTTAAGTTTTACTGTAGCAAATTTAACCCAGAAGAGATATAATACAATTTATGCACTGGTCTTTTAGATGCCACTTTAATATTTTTATAGTATTTTTCTATAAAGATAGCTAAAAATTTGCATGTTGTAAGTATTTAAGTGACGCATGTTAACGAAACGATAAGAACACCTAATACTGTAATATACGGATTATAATTCCGAGGCTGAACTCGCTACAGTGAAAACTTAAATTTTTACTTTCAATTTTCAACTTTGCAGCACTCTTATATATTTAACAATATATCGATATTATTTTTATTTTTAAATATATAGATTAAATATTCAATTCCTACTTAAGCTATAAGATTCAAATCAATTTAAGTTTTTTCTAAATCCACAGATGTTTCGTATCTATCTCTACAACATACGTTACGGTATCGATAGAACCATATTTTTTAACATATTTTTTTAAACTTTAAACAAAGATATCATAGCATAACTTTAATCAAGTTCGATAAAAAATTTTTTAAATTATTTATTTAAAAATTTGATTATCGGGTCGGTTTAGATCAGTTATTCGATTATTTTGTTGGCTCATAATTGGTCATGGCAACTGTCAGTTAACCGTTTATAACCGCAGTTAACCAGATAGTGTCCGATTATTATCAGATTATAGTTAAACCGCAACAGTCCTAAAATTCGAGTTGAGTAAATTGAAAAATTTTGGTTAGCTCCTCAATCTGACTTGAAACTATCGAAACCAATATATCACCCTAAGTTAAACTGTAATCTTGGTTTGTTTTATTAAAAATATAAAAAAAATAAGATTTTGTAAAAAAATCGAAATGAGTTTAAATTATGTAAAATTAGAAAAAATTAAGATGCATCAATTAATAATATAAAAATTTTAAACAAAAAAGATGCAGATATTTTCTGAGCCATGATCTAGGAATATAAATGTACTTTAGTCGTGATCCAACTAAATTGGACCGAATAGTTATTGTCGTGTAGATTCTCAGTTATAGGGGTCTTGGTTCTATTCACTAAGTCAGAATACTGGTGTATCGTACCAAGCACTACCACCTCGACACATTAAGTCAACAATAACAACAAGAAGAGAAAGTTTGTTATTAAGAACGTTCAAAAAATCTTGCAACTTTCTTTTTTACAACACACAAATAGACTTTAATTTCATGTATCAACGATCACGCCATTTATGCAACCGGTCATGATCCGGTAACCCGTGATCATACCTAACCCCAGCACTACATATTAATCAGTGTTGTCAATTTTTTGTTCTATTGATAAAAATTATATTCTATTCTAATTCTATTTTTCTATTCTATTGTTCTATTGTTCTATTTATTTATTGCTATATTAATATCTAATTATAATCCTGTTGGCAATTTTTTTGTTCTATTGACAAAAATTTTATTCTATTCTAAATTCTATTGCTCTATTCTATTGTTCTATTCGTCTATTGCTGCCAACACTGATATTAATATAATATATATATAGGGGTATTGGTCATCACCATGGCTACTAGATTATTCAATATTTAGTAGTTTTGGATTACTGAACTCACAGTTCTTACTAAATAATTACATGCTCAGTGTGAAAAAAAAATTAAAAAAAGGCATTTATTCACTATCAGAAATCTGCCAAGATGGGAGATGCTAAGGGAATATATGAGCTTGCAGACTGCTATTTTTATGGAAGAGGAGATGAAAAGGATGAAAATAAGGTATTCGTATTATCAAAAATCTTCTAAAATGGGAAATTTTAATGCAATAAATAGCCTTGGATATTGCTATCGACATGGAATAGGAGTTGAAAAAGATGAACAAAAGGCATTCGTTAATTATCAAAAATCTGCTGAGACGGGAAATTTTTTTTGCAATATATAATTTTGCACATTATTATAAAGATGGAATAGGGGTTGAAAAGGATAAATATAATAAAGCATTCGATAATCAAAAATCTGCCGATATGGGAAATGCCGACACAATAAATAACCTTGGATATTGCTATAACAATGGAATAGAAGTTGAAAAGGATGAACAGTGAACATAAGGCACTCGTTAATTATCAAAAATCTGCTGAAATGGGAAATGTCACTGCAATATATAATTTTGCAAATTGTTATAAAGATGGAATACGGGTTAAAAAGGATGAATATAAAGCATTCAATAATTATCAAAAATCTGCTGAATTGGGTATTGCTCATGCGATATGTCAAGTTGGAAAATTGCTATTTCTATGGAATTGGGATTGAAAAAGATAATCACAAAGCATTTCTTTATTATCAAAAAGCTGCCGAGATGGGACATACTAATGGAATGTCTGAACTTGGTTATTGTTATAGAAATGGGATTGGAATTTCGAGAGATTTACAAAAGGCTGAATATTGGTATCAAATGCAAATAATTTAGCTATTTAATTTTTATTATAATTTACTTTAGATAAATTATAAATTTATTTGCTAATGTTTTTCTTAGTCATAGATGAATGGACAAAAGAAAATTCTAATATTGATGATGATGTTAAAAATTATTGGTTGAAGAAATATATCCGTTATCATGGATTTCATATAAAAAGTTTACGAATATTGAAAAAATAGGACAAGGTGGATTTGCATTAGTATTTTATGCCAGGTGGCCAGACTTTAAACAAGGTATTTTGAGAGCCGTTGCACTAAAATTATTCCATGGATCAAAATTTTATAATGAAGAATTTATAAAAGAGGTGATTTTTTTTTTAAATTCTTACTGTCTCTCTCCTATATATAAATAATTTATCTTAATATTAAAGCTAAAAGGCGTATTGTGATATTAGTTCTAAACATCCTTCATTTTTAAAATGCCATGGAATATCAAAAGATGATTCTGGAGATTATATCCTAGTTTTAGGATATGCAAGAATGGGTTCTTTGCGTCAAAATCTTCGCTTTATAGCGCAAATAAAGTGGAAAGATAAATAACATTATTGCATTGTATTGCTTCTGATCTTCAAATTCTCAAGAACCTATTCATCGAGATTTGCAGTGGTAATATTCTACAAGATTATTTACATAATGCTTATATTGCAGATTTGGGACTTTCCATATCAGTAAATATAGCATTAAATGCAAAAAGAGTAGAATTTATGGTATTTTACTGTATATTGCACCAGAAGCTTTAGATAGAGGTTATTATTCAACAGCATCAGATATTTATTCATTTGGCATAATTATGCGGAAATATTATATGGAAAACCTGTATCTTATAATCGTGAATTTGGACAACAGCTTCAAATTGAAATATGCCATAATGATTTGCGGCCAATAATTATTGAGAACATACCATTATTTTATATAAATTTGATGAAGAATTGTTAGGAAAGGGATGCAGCAAACCGTCCATCAGCAATAAAATTTTGTAAAACCCTTACTGAAGGGATGAATGACGAAAATATTTTATTAGAACTAACTAAATCTGATGAACCATTAAAAAATATTAAAAGGACACAAATACTGACATATCCTGATGATAGTTATAAAAATACATATAAAGAAATATTCCGATAATATCTATACTAAATCATTTTATCAAGGTATCTATATTTATTATTTTATAATAAATGAAATTTATTCTTTAATATTAATTATAATTATTTAACAGAAAAAATTAAATTTTAATGATTGATGTATAAAATATAATTTGAAAAATTGTATAATGTAAATTTAGTTTGTTTTAGGTTTAACTATTGGCGGTTTCTTAGTGGATATGCAGTGTTGGGCTGGACATTGGACATGGACATTGGACCACACTTGTCCAATCCATTGGACCCAAAAGTATTGGACAATAATATATAAATCAACCAGGGATCTGTGGATTTTGTGATATAATTTAACAAATTATGTTTTTGATATCAGCAAATTATTTAATTTACTGCTGATTAACCATAAAAGTCCGAATTTGTATAAAATTTAAAAATTTATCTAATAAAAAACTTGCGATTTTGAAAAAAAAATGTTGTACTAAAAAAAAAAAATTGGTTTTTATGTGCAAATATATAGCCTATGATATTTTATTTCTTTGAACTATCGAAATATAAAAATATTTTATTATATTTGCTGAAAATTTCATCACGTATGCTTGAAAAGTGCATTTTCTATAATCAAAGCAAATCGAAGCAAATCGCAGTAGACCACATGCTTTTTGTGATTTGCTTCGATCACAGCAAATCACAAAATCTACAGGTCCTTGAAATCAACATATAATGTTACTATCGTTGGGAGAGCTTTTAACAATTGTCAGCCTGATTTAGCTTGATAGTAAGCTAAGACACGTAATATGGGGGTAAATAATATATACTTTAAAGGTATATGGTCACTTTTCTATCTATTCCGAGCACGTGAGGGTTAAATAAATCACTTAAATTGATCAGGTTACATTAGTGTAAACAATGAAATCGGATCGTCACAATTATGCCGAATTTAGGATAACGGTATCTAAATAACGATCGATAAGGTAATAATAATAATATGATGCAGGATGATAATTAAGAGTGATAAAAAAAATAATGCAATAAGATTTTATTCATTTAACAAGGTATACTCTAATCAGGTGAGAATTCGATTCTTATTATATTCAAATAAATCAAGACATTGAAGCCTTCTTTATTTAAGGTGCAAGAGACCACACTTTTATACTTTTAATTTACATAGTTTCTTATTTACATGTTTGGGACTATTTCTAATCTCTAAGGGCTAGTTCTAATCGCTTCACTAAGCTCTTTGTTTAAGCCTGACTAGTCCTCTCCCTTATTGCTAAAGCTTTGTCAACCTAAAAACCTCTTCTTACTAGTTCTATACCATCCTGGGCTTAGTTCTAGTTTCTTGTTCTATGCCCTTATTTATCCTTCTATTTACCAAGAAAAATATAAAATAAAAGAAATAAAAAGGAAGAAAGAAAGAAAGAAAGAAAGAAAGAAAGAAATAATTATGCTGCAATACCCAAAAGTTAGGTTATTTCTAGTCTCCCAAGCCCAAAACAAAATAAACTCGAGCCATATTTAGAAGTCACAGGAAATATTTCCTGTGACATACTTCTCTTCTTAATATAAGTTCCCATGAATACCTAATTTTCCAGTACTAGATGCTTGAATTCTTTATCTCGACTCCTTTGGGCCTCCTCTAGCAAGGAGGTGTATTCTTCCTTACTTATAGCTACTAAAGCTTTGGCCAATAAATGACAAGCAGCTAATATATTATGAACTCTGCGAGTATAGTACAGCCCATAAACTCTGCAGGTGATTTGCGATGCATTTTTATACTTACTACGCGTAAATCACTGTTTCACCTCCTGTTTTGCATAACTATTCCAACTGAATATGGCCATTCTTTTCTCTAAAAGATAGTAATATTTGAGGGTCTTCACTTAGTCAAGGTGACAAAATTGAAGCCAGATACAGAGGTAATCTATTTGCTGAGTCTAGCTATCCCCTTCCGGTTTCTCAATCTCTAAGACAGCGTCTCCTACTCTTTGTAAGTCTTTATAAAAAAGATGCATCCTACTCTCATTACTAGCAGTTCTATTAATATCAGAAGCCATAGTAATCTCAGTTGGTACATCTTGTTTATCCAGGAATTCTATTGTATCGTCAGTAATACAAATTATGGCTGCAGAAAATTCTTGAAGATATCTTTGTATTCTCAAAAGGTTCCTTAGTAAAGAGTCGGTTAATAAAAAGGAGTCCATGGTTGTGAAAGGGAAGAAAGGTCAATTCTAGCCATATTTATAAGCTTGAGATGTTTCTTTATCAAAAGGCAAAATATATTTCTTTAACCTGTTTCCATGCACTGCCTTTCGAAGTACTTTTTTAATCCCCTTGGGCTTTTTATTATTTATTTCATTTATGGTTTGTAATTTATAAGTACCATTGCCACAAACATCGTGGATATAATAGGGACTAGTAAATTTTTAGTTTAGCTTAGCACTGTACGAGGTTAATAAAGAAGATTTTTCTAATAGTACTTTATCACCTATAGAATAGCTCTCAATAATATGGCTTTGATCATGATGAGCTTTTTGTTTATTTTGCACTTTTGTAATATTATTTTTAGCCTGATAGCAAGCTTCTTCTAAATTTCCCAATAAGATTTCAATTTACCTCAATATTTGAGCTTGCATTTCTTTCTCAGTGATAGGCTCGTTGGGTAAGTGGGAATAACAGTCTCTAAAGATAATAGAGCATCACATCCATATACAAGGAGAAAGCCTCATAATGCATAGTGAAATGTCTATTTGTCCTGTAGACAAAGAGAGCAGCTGCACATACTCATCCTATTCGTCTTCGAATTGCTCTACACACTTTGCCAAGACTTCACACAAAGTTCGATTAAAACGCTCCACCAAACCATTGGTCTGTGGGTGGTAGGCACTAGAGTTCTGGGGTTGAACATTCATTTTTTGGCACAACGCTGCTACAATTGTATTATAAAAATGCATGCCTTGATCTGAGAGTAATTTTCGAGGGCTTCTATGGTAGCAAATGATGTCTTCAAAGACAAATGTAGCAACTGTTTTAGTATCTGCTCGCTTTATATCTCGAGCTTTTGGCCACTGTGTAAGGTATTTTGTTGCTACTATAATGTAGTGATTTCCCTGGCTAGTAATTGGTAGTGGTCCTACTATATCTATTCCTATCTAATCAAAAGGTTTACTAATTCAAATAGGATAAAGAGGTTCTCAGATTTTTAGCATTTCTCTTTTCTGACAAGAATCACTAGAAGCAACATAGGCCTTAATATTATTTCTTATTTAAGGCCAAAAGTATTGTGTGATAATCTGCTAGTACTTTGTCTCTTTATTAAAATGTCTAGCTAAAGGGTCTAAATGCATCACATACAAAATAGACTGAATCTCTTGGAGTTTTAAAACTCTTAATAATCTCATAAGATCACAGGAGTTTTTCTTGTATAGCAATCCTTCCTGTACAAAATAATGATAGGTTCAATGTTTAAGAGACTTAAGTTGCTTGATGTCATAATGTACAGGTATCATAGACTCACTAAGATACCTTAAAAATATGTAATATGTATTTAAATCTATAAGTTTCTATCAATCAAAATGGGATAATCCAAAGTTGGCGTCATTAAATTATAAGAAAAAAAAATATAAAATATGAATGTTCTTCTAGATTCGTAAAAATCTATCAGCGTTAAGATGAGTTTTTCCAGTTTTGTGAATAGTAGTGAATGAGTACTCTGTAAGGTCAGGATCTATCTGGCCAGTCGATGTTGAGGTAGCCGATGAGAAAATAATGATTTCAGTACAGAATGATTAGTATAAAGGGTAAAGTGGGTCCTAGAAGATAGGGCCAAAAGTAAGAAACTACCCACATGACCTAAAGATATTCTTTTTCAGCTACTGAGTAATTCATTTCTGCTGGGGTTAAAGAACGGCTTGCGTATACTATAACCCTCTCCTTATTTTCAAGATCTAATTGAGAGAGAATAGCTCCAAGAGCTATATTTGAAGTATCTGTAAAGAGAATAAATGGCTGTGTGAAATCTGGATAGGCCAAGATAGAAGCGGCTATAAGCTTTTCTTTAAGCTTTTCAAATGCTTCTTGTTGTCTAGGTGTTTACCAATACTTAGCATTTTTTTTAGTAGTGCATTTAATAGCCTGGCTATATTAGTAAACTCTGGTATGAATCGCTGATAACAAGATACCAAGCCCAAGAATTCACGTAGCTGCCGCATATTTCTTGGAGGAGAGAATTCTTGGATGGCTTGAACTTTCTCACAATCTGTTGATATTCCCTAGGTATTTACAATATACCCAAGAAATTTTAATTCTTTCTTGGCAAAAAAACATTTTTGGGCTTTATCTTCAGCCTGGCATTCTGAAGTCTACTAAAGACCTCTTTTAAATAATCAATATGCTCCTCGAATAATTTGAAAAAACTGTTTAAATTGTCAAGATATATGATAACACTTTTCCAGAATGTTACTAAAAATTTGGTTCATCAATCTCTAAAAAGTCGCTAGAGCATTCATTAAACCAAAGAGCATTATGTTGAATTCAATAATTTCTTGGGGGAAATAAAAGCAGTTTTTAGTTTGTCTTCCTCAAGCATCTCTACTTGCCAATAACCACTAGCTAAGTCTAAAAAAGTAAACCAGGCTGAACTGTTCAAGATATCTAACAGTTCATCTACCCTAGGTAAAGGGTAGTTATTCCGGATAGTAACAGCATTCAGCTTCTGGTAATCAACACAGAATCACATCTTTCTTGCCTTCTGTTTTACGAGTACTACTGGGGATGTTCATGGACTAGTGGAGGGTCTAATTATATTCTCCTTCAACTGACTTCAATTTCTTCTTTAAGAAATGCTTTTTCTGCTAGAGAATAACAATAAAAACATTGTCGAATAGACCAAACATCCTTAGTTGAAATTTGGTGTTGTATGATATTAGTTCTTTCTAATTCGTCAAGATCCAGGCGCAAAGATCCTTATATTTGTTTAAGAAGAGTTCTAATTGTTCTTGCTAATGTCCTTCTAAATTCCCTATTTAGTAATTTATCTTCATTGGCACTTTATTCTCATAAAAATAGTCAAAAAGGTCTGAAATAGACCCTTTTTCTTCTTTAGTCATGTCGTAATTAATGTATTCTTCTTCTTCAGCTAAATCTCTTATAATTATATTCTCCGTCTTGCTATCTTCTAAAACTTTGCTGTCAGTATATTTTATCCAGTTTTCAAATCCTTTACTTCATTTTATACCTCTTCCTTTTTCTTTTAATACTTCTTTAATCTCGGCCTCTACTTCTAAGTAGATGAAAATTTGTTCTTCTAATTCCTTCTCTTTATATTCTTCTTCTGACTCTTCATTATCTTCCTTTTCATTCTTTTTGTCAACCTCCTTTATGACTATTAGCCATTTTTTTTCTATAGGTAACCTAGTTACTTTTCTAAATTAAACAGGAACAATAATTTCTTTATTGTTCCAGAGAATAGTCATCTTAGCTAAATTCCAATTGATGGCTGCATTTACTTTAGCAAGCCAATTATTCTCAACGATGGTGCAATAAGAATTAGTGTCTATTATTATAACATCAACGGGGATCTTAACACCACCAATCTTAAAAGGAAAATTCGAAATCTTCCCAATTGCCCTCTTACTTTTCCCATGTATATTAATCATGTTTACTACTGAGGGTCTTTCAATCCTTATCTCTAATTCATTTAACAAATAGGAAGTGACAACACTTCCAGATGAACTGCTATTTACTATTAGAGGGATACACTTGCTATAAATCTCTGCATTACAATACAGAGCAGTAGACTTTGGTGTTAGCAGCATATTGACATGGTCTTGAGCTATCTTCCTAACTATAATTCTTTTCTTTTGCAGAGAGCGAGCCAACTATTGTCTTATATTTGGTGCTGCTCTCAGCAATTGTTTATATATAATATTAGCCATTTTATCTCTTATATCCACCATGATCGAATAAGGGCTAACTAAAGAAGAAATCTGAGGCAATTTTTCCTCTGTATTCTTTCTTCTAACTGTAGAAGCTTTTTTCGATTTTACTTCCTTATTTCTTTTGAGATCAACTACTAACAGCTCATTATTTTCCTGACTCTGTTCATTTGGATCCCTATCTACATCCATCTCTGGATTTACTAGTTTTGAAGAGGCATCTTCCATCTGTCTATTCTTTTTCTTTCAAAGAATGGGGTATTGACAATAGGCTTTTGATACTCGTGTTATTCTACTAGTAGGAATAATACCTCATCATCTTCTGGTATTCCCAAAAATGATGACTGACTCCGGGACTCATCTGAACTAGAATTATTATTTAATAAGGCTAGTAAAGCCTGGAGAGTATCTTGAGTATTTGTACTGTTGGCTACTGGGGTTGTATATCAGAATCCTGACACACAAATTCCACATAACAAAATCCTGGCAACAAAGCAATACACAAAATCCTGACAAATTAAATTTCTAATTTTAATATTTTTAGGATTTTAATTTGTCAGGATTTTGTGTATCGGGATTTTGTTGCTGGGATTTTGTGTGTTGAGATTTTGTGTGTGTCAGGATTCTGATATACAACCAGCTACTGGAGTTGTTCGAGAGGGTTGGCTTGAGCTGGAGGTCTGTCATTAACAGGAGTTAATAAATTAGAATATTGAGGGGCTATATGTCCGAGGCATCCACAATTATAACAAATCACCCCTTGTGGTTAATTTTTTGTGGCTTCTGGTTGTTGGGGTTGAAAAGGCCTTCTTGGTTCTTGCCATAAGGTTATCATTCTATTAATAGCTTCAGACAGCCTATTCAAGACATCTTTAGTCCCACTAACACTAGTATTTGTTGTATTTATTGTCCCTAACATACCAGGAAAGCTATAAGAAGAAAAAACTGCAGGCTAGCCTAAAAGAGCAGCATAAGTGAGGTTAGATTTATAAGCATTTTTGAATGCTTTTGCCCGCATATATGCTTCTTCCATTGTGTTAAGAGTTAACGAGGATACAGCCATAAACAACTCTGGGCAAAGCCCATTAATAAACATCTGGGCTTTTGCTGAATCAGAGTATTGATGCCTTCCTGATTCTACTTGTTGAATCATCTCCTCTATAGTTATATGATACTCATCAACACTTTCTCCTAGCAATTACTTTTATTGAGTTAATTGCACGAACCACTTCTCTTCTAGCTCCGGGTTCTGAATTTGGTAATGAAAC